GGGCAGGAGCCATGAGTGGATGCCTATACGGCAAAATAGACCCATTCTGTGAGCGAGCAACAGGAGGATGTGGACAACTTAGAGGGGAAGGGCTTCGTCTGACTCAATGAAACGGACTCACAACTCAATGACCAGACTGATGTATGAGGAGAAAATGCGATGTGGCGGTCGCTTTGGCAGACACCCGTGGTTTTTCCTCACAACATGGCCTCTCCAACGCAGTTCTATTTACTTCAGCACGATGTGGACGCCAATTACTTCCTGGACTTGCGTGCCGTTTCGCCATCTCTGATATAGTAGTCTGTGGAAGCAGTTGAGTTGCCAATGACTTAGTTCACTTTCTAATATTTTGTAGGCTGTTCATGTCTCCGCCCAGAAGGCGACTTTATCGGGATATCTGCTCGATACCCCTTTAGTTTGATGGTCAGGTGGATTTCGCGGCGATTTCTAACTTGCAGTCTTGCAGCCGGACTGACTTTTGAGATACGAGCCAGTTCAAGTGCGGCTGATTCTGGGTTCGTGGTACCACCTATCAGGTAGGGCTGGTTGATACAATCAAAGTCCTCGCCATGCTCATGTTCAGCCCAGAGTTTGTGTACACGGAGTCAAAGTGGCCCATGGTCATGGAGACTCGCATTGACACATATATGTGTCGGATTTTGAGCATGAGTTCGGTAAACGAAGTCGATTCGCGTCCGCGCCTTATGGTGTACGCGCATCAGCATAACAGAGGACATGAGACGTAAACTGGCGGAATGAATACACAACTCTTTCTACGCCATTTGGCACAGTGAAATTTTCAGTGAATGAACCATTGTCCGTAACGCGAGCCATCGTCTCGAAGAATCATCGTAATGCTTCGGGTAATCTAATGACAGTCTCATTTTAAGAGTCCAGTGTGGTAGACTGCATCGAAGGCGTCTGTGAGAGATAGTGGAGCCCGGTCCTCATTTCCTGCCAGTTCGTTCGTAATAAGCGGACAAAACAGAACAGGTTAGTGCTTTTGAAGTTCCTTCAAAACACCCACCGACTCCCATAGTTGTCTCCTTACTCGGGATAAAGGCCTGCGATTCTGACGAGATTGTCACAGAGTAGCAGGGATAAAACCATTCTATCATAATATGATCGGCAGACCCCCGGTTTCCTTAATAAACATCAAATCAACACAAAGCCTATGGTTAGAGCACTGTCAAAATCGTGTGGGTAACACTGGAAGGAAGGGAACAAAAAAACCTACGGTGGACTTTCGCACAAACATTAGAGGTAAATGTAGCAAAACCCTACCTGGAGGTAGTCAGCGTAAATACTTGCAGCTTCTTCGAATCTCGAAATCGATTGGAGGCTGGCTAGAGAAAAAACAGACGCTCTGTGTTATTAGGAGATATCAGAGGAACTTAAAAGTAAAACATCATAAAAAACCGCGTAAAATGGACGTCTGGATCAGATGCAAGTCGGATACGAAGTCGGGAGTTATCCAGTCTGTCGGCAATCTTCTAAATCCCGGCTGCTAGAGCCTTGTGTTAGCCTTAGAATACATTTCGGGAGTTTGTGGTGGGTGTGACGAGTGAATCAACTTGACTCTCTCAATTCTCTCCCCTCCCCCCCCCGTACAAGGCAGTGACCTGTTCGAACTTGTCAGTCGACTGATGGTGACATGTGGATAAACTGCTGAAGTGTTATGAAGGTCATAACTCGTGAGAACCTCGAAGCTGTCCTGTAGTCCGGCGTAATCTGCCTGTATCTGCTGATCTGCAACCCTGTGCATAGACCGCATGCTCGCAGGAAAACCCGTTTATCTTACACAATCACCACATGAAGATGACAAATTTGGTCAGCTCATATATTCCCATCTGTTATGCTAACTGCTTATTACTGAGCTACTGACATAATTATAGGAATCACTAAACTTCGATGTGCAGTTGATTCTGAAGAAAGAAGCTCCCTATTAGACAGGAGATGTTATGTAAATTCTAAGTTACAGCTAGGTACTGTAGACAGTTAAAGTTAGCCTGAGAAAGGCAAATGGCTCTACGTTGTGACTTAAAAGTATTATAAACCTTGCGTTATTATTAAATAAACGTTTATTTATCCCCTCAATTTATTATTTGCCCGATATAGGTTGCGACTGCGTGTTAGCCTCCAACGTGCATGCACAGGCCGTGTTATAGCATAGTATTTACTGGTCTTAGTAAGTATGATTACCAGAATTAGCACTCCTAGTATTGGTATATTACTTCTAGCAGCAGCATCTTAGTCCTCGCAGTCTAAACTTAGGAGAAACTGAGACAGTTTTGGTGAACAAATTAAAAAGGGCGGAAACCAGGGCAGGCATTTATGTGCTCTGGGCCTCGAACATGCATTTAGTCGGAATAACATTAACCCAGATTCACACTGTTTGTTGAAATCGAGGGAAACCAAGTCTTGCGCTGACTTTAATCAACGTCATTTCTGACTAGCCATTAGCGTCAGTAATAGTACCAGTACTACTATCACGCAGCTACACTGCTAATAAGCAGCAATATAACTAGAAGTAGTAGCAAGATCAGACTAGGTCTTTTTGAGTCTTTCTGGACACCTGCTGGTGGTAAGTGAGGATAGGTAGCGCAGTAATACCAGCGCAAAAGGCTACTGTCATTTAAGACTAAGTTAGGCGGTGTTTCTGGCCTGAATTGGAGAAAGCGGCTTATGCCCGATTCCTGCTTGGTCCTCTCGACTCTCTCTTGCCTCCAGCTCAAGCAGAATGAGGATCCAGAGTGTGATAGATGGCTTTGTGTCTATTTTAACCACAGTCACTATCGCTGCTCTTTGAGCATATGGTGTACC